GTGTGTGTGTGTGTGTGTGTGTGTGTGTGTGTGTGTGTGTGTGTGTGTGTGTGTGTGCGCGTGTGTGTGAGTGCGTGCGAGTGTGTGAGCTTTACCTCAGCACTGAGAGGTTCAGGTTTCCCATACAGGCTTTGATTTTATTCTGGGCTTCCAGGTGTGTCATTCCCTCTGTGGCAATGCCATCGATCGACAGCACAACGTCCCCGACGCTGATCTTGGCTTTCGCTGCCTTTCCTCCTTCTGTCAGCTGCATCAAACACAAACACACACAGTTCAGAGACGCACGACGACACATGACAGCTGCTGTCTTCATACGCAACAATACAAATCACACACTTCAGACTCGACTGCAATAGATTCCCTTCCGGTGAGTCGTTAACCAGTGTCAGGGAGTTCAATCTGACTCACCAGTCAATCGTTTAGAGTGGTTTTGTGAAGCAGATTCATTCAGAAACTCTTACACACCAAGCAGAGCAAGTGCAAATACCCATGACTAAAGACTTCAATTTCTCACTCAAATCCAGTGAGTTAAAGACTTCAAATGCGTTTATGATGTTTTGGTGTCCTTTTCTGAACGCTTTAGTTACCTTTAATTGTAATTGCATTAAAAAGAGAGGCAGTACAGTCTTTTCTAATAATCAATCTTTTAACAAATTTGAACAGAATGCTCTTTTTTAATTTAAATTAAGTTGAGTTGTTTACACTTATTAGACTGATGATTGACACAATGTTATTTTAATATTATTTACACACTACTGTAGTATTTATTAATGTTTCTATATATATTTATATATTTTCAGCGTTCACTTTTAGCTTCAGTTTCAGTTTTTTAAATATTTCTATCAAGCTGCAATTTTTACTTTCACTTTAGAAAAACTAAAACGTATTTTAGTTCTGTTAATTGTTGATTTTTTTATTTTTATGTTTTTGAAGTCCAAGTCAAGTCTTTTTTAGTCTTTTAATCTATTTTTTTATAGTGTTTACTAATATTTTTATATTTTCACTTTACATTTTTTGTTTAAGTTTTAGCTATTTTTTTTAAATATTTCTATTTAGCTGTGATTTTTTTTCTTTCAATTTTTAGCAAAACTACTATTTATACTACTATAAACATATTTTACTTCTGTTAATTGACAAGACATCATTTTTCATTTTTAAGTTTAAGTCTAAGTCTTTTCAAGTCTTTTAATTAAGTATTTACTAATATTTTTATATTTTCATTTAAGTTTCAGTTATTCTGTTAAGTGCTTTGTCATTTTCATTATTTTTGTTATATTTATTTTATTTTGTATATATGTCCATTTAGCTACATTTATTCAGTTCTATTTTATCTATGTTAATTCCCGGGGCATAATTTTTAAAGTTTTTTTTAAAAAATCGTATTCATTAATATTTTCATTTTTATATATTTTTATAATTTCAGTTTTCATTTTCATTTTAGTTTAAGTTTCGGTTATTTTGTTACATGCTTTATCATTTTTATTAGCCGTTTCCATTTCCTTTTTTAAATATTTCTATTTAGCTGCATTTTTTTTTTGATTTTAGTTTTCATTTTTGCATTTCATTTTAACTCAGCTTTATCTAAAAAGAATAGTTTTAGTTAACAATAATAACACGATGCAGCACACACCCAACTGTACGCCACTTACTTTGATGTCAAATGGAATATAGGTGAAAAAAAATCTCGATCTGTGCTCAACAGATGATGATACAGTAAAAACATCCGGCCTTCAAAAATCAAACCCTTCAAAGAAGCTGAAGATCAAAGAATGCCTGATACTCGGCTGACCTTTGACCTCTCGGGGCCCAAACTGAGGCGAGTCAGTGAAATGATACAGGCTCATCATGGGCTTTAATGCCGGAGCGCGGCGAGACACTGATGAAAAACTAGCTTCAGGAGACAAGAGCCCAGCTGGAGGGCCCGTGATTTACTAGAGCTTTAAATCTGCTGCTGGAGCTCAGAGGCGCTGCAGATCTTATCAGATCAGACCTGACGGCCTATTAGAAACCAGCCTCGCTCTTGTTAGTACTGGCTTCAGATCTTGTCTGGACTAATAAACAACCCGAGACCTTACCAGATAACTACAGCGTGGGAAGGAACATCTTTACTCGGATGATTTACACAGAGGAGAATGAAACCAAACAGCTTCTGTGGAGCTTCTCAGAGATGAAGACCGCACAAGTATTCTTTACAGACCATCCCACAATGCACCGCAACTACTGTACAGGAAAAAATATCCAAGATGTTGAACAAGTCACAAGAAATGTTGCTTGTATTTTCATGTCACTACAACTGCCATAGCTATTTTCATAGCAAGAAACAGGTTATTAAAATGAAGCAAAATATGAGAAGAAAAAAAGATTTTTTTTCCTTTTTAAACTTTATCTTAAAAAAGAAAACTACTAAATATAAATAAACATAAATATAAATTTGTAAAATGAATACATTTAGACAGAAAAATGTGAAATTCCAAGTTCTATCAAAGAAAAAAAAACATGCATAAAACTTAAAAAATATAAAAAATATATATTTAAAAATTAAACAAGGCAGGACTTGATTTTGTCAACTAGAAATGTATTGGATTGTGAAAAGGGGACGTTCTATCATAGCAAAAATAAATAAAATAATTCATTAAAAATTTAGAAAAAGACAAATGTAAGGAATAGATATAGGAAAGGACTACATTTAATCAATCAGGTATCAACTGGATCATAAAAAGTGGAGGTTCCATCATAGAAAAAAATCTAATAATACACTGGACTTTGCCATAAGGGAAAACAAAACGAGAGATAGACGCGGTTACGACAGACTGTAAACTCGCAGCACACTTTCCTCATTAAAAGCCGATCACATCAATTAAGCTGGATCTGAACTCTAATCATGAGTGACAGTGTTTCAAACATCCATCTGCTGCCATCAAAGCGTGGCCTTCCCAACAAACAGAGCCAGAGACGTGCGTCATCCCTTCCTCGATCCGTTAAAGCCCTCCGCTGCCACACATTAAACTGATCTGAGGTCAGAGTTCACCGGGAACACCTGGGTCACCACATACTCCAGCTAGACACATTCAACACCTGAAATCATTCATCTCCTGAGTCACTTCACCAAACTATCATCAGATACACACACAAGCATGGCCGTAACCAGGGTTTGATAATTAGTGAGGTCTGAGGTGGGGAGTAATAACCCCTACAAATACAACTCATTATTTACACTAACACTTTAAGAGACAGAGAGGTTTGTGAAAGATGTTTTCTCTGTTTTGGAGGGAACACTTAAATTATACCACATTTATTGCATCAAAATGTGTTAATATTTCACTATAGGTTAGGGGTGAATAATTTTATCAGTTGTTTATTGATCAGGCAACAATACATGAAGAAGAGTTCATTTGCAAAAAAACGATAATTTTTATTTTATTTTTTCAGAAATTAAGTTTTTTGCCTTTAAATTACACCTTAATGAAACAAATCAAATCGAAAACAAAAACTCTTTCATTATAAATCATAATTCGTAAAGATGCACTTCTCTCTAAAGGCGCGTCTAATGAGGAGATGGCGAATCAAGATCGTCATCTTCATCCTTGTGACACACACTCAGAAAACACTAGTTTATTAGTAAATAACTCAAATATCTCCTTACTATTTCCCCCCCAACACATTTATGGTGATTACTTTTGCTGGGGCTTTGCGCCAAGCTTTAGCCTATTGCGCGCGTTTGAACACAGATTTTTTTCATCAATAATTGCTGGATGTCTAAAATATAAAAATAAGGAGAAGCCTAAAACAGGCCCGAGGTCTGGACTGCGTCTGAACTATGATGTGAAAATTGGCCCGAAGCCCGGTCCAAGAGGCGTAAAAAAGTTGGGCTGAAATGCAGGGCTCTATGCCACACTATTTCTAACTTTGTGTACTATACAGGACTGATATGAAGTGAACTGGCATGGATGTCGATGTGTCTGAACAAGCAGCACTCATTTCACATTTACAGGTGTGCATGTGAGGCATTACGCAACCATGCATGATGAATATCAGTCATTCAGCACTGCTGTGCTTCTCTTCACTTCACATCTGCTAGGCAACTAACTCATCTAACATGCTAGCCATCTCCTGAGTCAGATCAGCACCTATGCGCCAAAAGCGGAACGAAACAGCGCGACTCATTCGAAGTGCGCCACTCGGATCAATGTTCAAACTTTGTTTAACTGTGTTTATCATGATTTAAATGTATGCTACTATGAGAGAACAATGCTTAATTAAAAAAAAAAAAAACACTTGGTCAGACTAAATGTAACCGTATAAAACGGAGATTGCTACAATTTTCACAGATGTTACTGATCTTGATAATGAACAAAAATGTACCTCCGCATCCTAACTCAAGCTACTATCAAATGTGCATTTCTAAGAGACAAAAAAGTGATATTATTATTATTATTATTAATATTATCAGGCAACCCAAACCGGTTTCTTTATTTGAAACAATATCACTCATTAGAACATGCAGAAATTAAGAAACTAATTTTTCTATTTAGATATTTATTTTGTTAAATCATAATGAGCCCAAATTAATAGTCTGGTTTCTACAACTTTCACCTTGGAGCAAAACTCTGGCTTTAAACTGGAAAGAAATAAAGATTTGACATTTATCGTGATAATTATCCATATCGACTGATATGGAAAAAATTATCGTGATCATGATAATATTTTTTGGGCCATATCGCCCAGGCCTAGTTCAGAAGTGATATTGAGTTATACTGTAACTGCATTATTCAAGCAGCAGGAACTGCAAAACAACAGGTCACACAACTTCACATTCCGGCCTACAAATCTCCGAGAGCACCTCTGGGAGTCTGACGGGGTCACACACACTTATCCGAGTCATTAGGTCAACGACAGCAATTGACCCTCAAAGCCTGAAGCGCATGTAATGTCCCGAGGAGACCAAACAACACAGGAGCATGATGAGGTCCCACAGCTGAGGAACACGCCAAACGCCTCCTGAAGCTGCACAGACACACGTGTGCGAAAGACGCTTAGCATTAGCAGCAGGCCCAGCAGTCTTTGCTTTTATTAACATCATAAACTAAACCTCAGCCTCATAAAGCTGAAGGCAACAAGGATCAAATCCCACCGCAGAGGAAAACGACACCCCCAAATCACACAACACCTCACAGCTTGCCTTCAAATGTTTTCATTAGTCATACTTCTAGAAACATTTTCAAAATGAAAGATTAACAAGTTTGGGCT